CCAACAGATTTTAATATGATGGAAACTGATTTGCTTTCATGTACGAGTGCTTTAAAATGGGGTGGAATGTATTGAGATGTGATTATGCACCTGGTTATATGGTAAATAGTCTCCCTGCTCTCTGCTACTTTGCACTTACAAATAACTAGAAGTTACAAAAATGTATACTACTTTATAAATTGCATAATTGCTAGTCATTTATTTACAAAATTATTTTGCAGGACTGGATTAGGACTCGGTATGTTGAGAACTATACCAGTATAGAGGAAGAGTTTCTGCCTTGCATAGCTTTAAAATTGAAATGCTCCAGTTCCCCCCTGCCCCCTCTCTCTCCCTGAAATACTAGGCTCTTAAGTAAGCAGCCCTGTTCTCACAAGTGCTCAACATAGAAAGATACTGCTGGGTAATTTGATACCATTCCTATTTCATCTAGGACACATGAGTTACCAGAATCAGAAGCAAATAATGGATGTAAACACTGAGATTCTTTTATGATTTGTCTTGAGGTTTGGCATTATCCTGTGAATCTTGTTCACTTGAGGAATCGTCTCTGGCATGAGCTTGTTTCCTAATAGCATCTGCTGTCTTAAGTTAGATATGGTCTTCTAGATGTTACTGAATTTAGGTGGATTTTTTTTTTCCTGCAGATAAAGCATTCCTGCTCTTGATGGTTGTGGGCTTTTTGCTGCTTTTTGCAGTTCTTTTTCCTTCTCTGAAAAAATAAGTATGAAGGGTAGGACATACTTGGACATAGTCTGCAATCCTCTTCTTGGAAAGTAAGATAAAGGACAAATGTACACATACCTAAATATGTGTGTGGGGGGGAAATGTTGATGGTTGTATGATTGCTGACTTGAAGAACCAGCCTAAAAATAAAAAGGTTGAGATGGGTATTAGCAAACAGGGATGTTGAGACAAAACCGAAACCCTGTGAAAATCCCCATAACTCACAATAGCTGTTCATCAAAATTACGATATTACTTCTTTTAATGTACAGAAGTCCTACCTTGCTTTATTCATCTCTTTGTGTATAGTGTGGAATAAAGTAATGTGTCTTCTAAGACTGAATCATCTTTATATATCATTCGTTTGATCCATGCCAGTTTACCAGCTGGTAGATTTTTCTGCAGTTGTGATGAAGGAAAAAATATGAAGTAAGCTGAATGGAGTATTAAGTCTTACCAAAAAGAAATAGGCATCTTTGCTGCCTTGTAAAGGTGATGGTATTGCCCGCAACAGAAGGATTTGTGTCAAAGAAACGTACTCGTACTTGCTGTAATACTTGTACGTCATTACTAGTTTGTGCTGGCACAGCAGCTGCTGTGAATGCTCAGCTCTTGGGATGCAGTTCCAGAAGGTTAGTGGCTGATGTTATGTTCTCTGTATAGGAAAGAACTGTCACCTCAGTACAAAAGAAAGATTGAGGGTTGGTTTGGGTTTTGGAGGATTTTTTTGCGTGTGTTTGTAGGAATCCAAACCAGTTATGTGAAAGCTGAAGCAAATCCGTTAGCAATTCTGTACAAAACCATTTTGGTTTTGTACATTTTCTGTTCCTTACTGTATTGAAGAGTATTTAGACTGACCCTTTTTGGTTTTTTTCAGTAAAAGATGGGGAAGGATGTAAATTTGGGGGAGGGGGTGGGGAGCGGCGGCAGCAGAATGGGGAGTGTAGTCCTGTATACTGGAAGTGTTTTGTAATACTTGCTCTATGTTCAGAAATAGTGACATTATGGCTAATATGTGGCATATAAATAGCAAAACTTAGACTTTTACAGAATAAAAAATATTACTTCAATAGTTGCTGATTTCAAGCATACCCAATATCACTGAGTTCTGATAAAACAGCATTCTTTGAGCAGCGTGCCTCTGGAGTGGGGAAGTTAACAATGTTCAGAACTCTTTTAAAAGATAAATTGTCAGAAGGAAAGACTTGAGTAATCTTGAGCTTATGGCTTAGTCATAAGTCAGATGGGGCTTCATAAAGTCATGCTGCACTTGGGGTTTTTTTGTGTAACTAAAATTGTTGTTTGTTTTATGCGGTCTCACTTGTCCTATTGGACAAGTAACATTTATTCTTACTGAAATAATGAAGCAGAAAGCCTCAAAGGAATTCTTTTTTTTAAGTGATAGGGTAGTATTCTATCCTTTGTTGTACAGATGTTTCTTTTGTGATTGCCCCAAAAGTGATAGTGTATGTATGTGAGGAAGTGTAGTCTGACCGGGTTCTTCACATGTGCCAGGCAGAGGACTTAACTGCAAGAGGTCATGCCTCTAGAACCAGCTCTGGGAATGTTTCATTACACTTGCAAGATTCATTTTTTTCTGTTTTTAATAGAAACACTGCAGTAGTTCTTTCCCTAGTTTTGGGGAAGGAGGAGATGCAGGGGGGAATAAAGAAGTAAAAACTTGGTAGGTGTATTTGATTTTTGAGTTGGGAAAAGCGTGGTATCCTGAGGGCAAAACAGACGGTAGTACCTATTAGCAGCCGTGAACTAGAAACAATCTGTGCAAAACTACATTTGTCCCAGACTTACTAACTGTACTTTCTACAGTTTTCTTCCCTCTTCTTTGCCAAATCTTCAATTATTTGCTTTAGACAGGATTACTCTGTCCTGTGATCAGAAAACATTGGCTTCATTCATTCGTCTTATGGTCAAATTCTTAGGTGGGTTCCTGAGTGTTTATCATATAGAAAAATTGTGTAAAACTTATTTTTCAGCCAATCTGAGGACTCTTTCTGTAAGTAAAAGAAAGCACTGTAAGCATCAGCAGCGTAGCATGTTGAAGAATCACTTGGGTAAAGCAAATAACATTGAACAAATAATTCTGGTTTTGTAGGGTTTGCAGTGTTGTGAATATATGCCTTATACCTTCAATTGACAATGTTTGCTCTTCCCTGTGGCTTAAAGATTTAAGGGTTTCCATCATGCTCCTAGAGTTAAGCAGACTTGTTATGTTTAAATTGTGCCGATAAGTCATGAAACAAATTACTTCTTTCCTTGTTTTCACTAGAAATGTTTATTTGTTTTGGTTTTTTTTAAGTCCCTGTAAAGATAGAGAGGGAAAATAGCCTTGCAGGTAGGCAGTAGATCATGTAGAGCTTAAGAATAGTCAGTGAATGTCTATTTGCTGAAAGAGGTTGAAAGATAGTTTGAGGTGTAGAATGAGAATCTTGACTCTGTACCCATGAAGACAACATCTGTCTTAGTACTTTGCTGAAGAACTTCTTAAAATAAGCCTCTGGTTGGGATGTGGTTTTTGTTTGTTCTAATACTTAGTTCATGGGCAGAAGGAGTGTCTGTTTTCATGACCTTACCTTTCTCCCCTGCTGCTAAGAACTAAATAAATTCCACTACTGTCCTCATTCATTTTCTACTCTTTGTCATTTTGCCCCATAAATTTTGTGTATATGCTTACAAACTTAACCAGAACAGTAATCCTCTTGAGTTTCAATGCTGCCCAAAGAGTGGAAAATCAAAAGTTCATAATGGCTACTCTCAGTGTTTCAACTCCCTAACTTTAAATGCCAGTTACCAGCAAATGAGATAATCAAAATGAAGTGCTTGGATTTGTTTTCACTAGTTTCATGTTAAGAACTTTACTTTTGTAGCTTAGTTTTGAGACTAGTTTGGGAATTTACAGAATTTAATCACTTAACAACTTATCATTTGTTAATCATTTGAGGTGGAGGGCTTAAAGTTTACCACAAGAATTTAAGAGGGTAAGTCAAATATAACTGAGGATTGTTGTAACATGCAGCTTTCTGCTAATTGCTCATTAAAGTCTCTATTATAAAATTTTACCTGTTGCATTTCTTGGTTTTTCTTTTATTTTAATCACTTTTATATACTTCCTTCTGTGCTAAAAGGTAAAATGGCTGCAGCTTGGTTCATGTCGCCTAGTTTCAAAGATCAAATTACATTATCATATGTTGATTTAAATATTCTGTCTTTAGCAAGCATTGAGCACTTTCAAACAGTGGTTCACAGGTGTCTTGTTTGTGATGAGGTACTTGTTTGATGAAATAGTTTTTCATTATATTGGGACCTCCCAAGTAGTATACTGGGTGTTCAGATAAATGACGAACTGCCCAATATTGTGGGCTTGGATACTGAATCTACTGCACAGATGAATCTGAAGAAAAATAAATATCCACTGAAGTTGCAGAAAGTTATTTTGTACTGGAGTACTATTAACTTTCTGAAATAGTCATTTCCCATACCATCTGTGTTCACTCACCAACTGTAGATCTTCACAGATTGTGTTCCTTTTTAACATGTCAATCACTATCAATTACTTTGAGGTTTGAGTAACTTACCTGCTGTAGCTATTTGAATAGTCTTTGAAGGAGGACAAGTAAAGAGGAGAATAAACATCCATCTTACATGAAATTAATTTCAGGACAGTTTAGTGTTGGCAAGTGTTGACAGTATTAGACCTAACTTACCTAGCTAGGCTGAAGGCTTGTACCAATGCAAAATAATAAACTAAGACTGAAATCTGAATTATGTTTGACCACTGGTATGGCACAAGCCCACACGCTGCAGTATTTGTTGAGCAGATGGCTCATAACATTATCCCTGGAAGATGGGAGCATGAATGACTGCTCTCAAAATGCTCTTCAGTATTGTTCTATAGAACTTCTGATACATGGCTGGTATTGCTTTACAGCTTACACACTTGTGCATAGGTGTGATGCAATATGTACAGAGTTAGCAGTTTGATTCATCTGCATTATCATCCAAGAGGCGCATGCAGGTAATCTATAATTCCTGCACTAGAGATTACTATGTGCAAAATACTTTATATGCTAAGGACTCAAGACTGAGTGGAACTTCAAAAATTGTGGAGTATCACATATCCTTGTTTACTACAGTGATTAGACTGTTAATAGGAAAGGATCAGTTAAGTTTTTGTTTTCTTGGTTGCTTGTGAGTAAAGATTTTGAAAAATTAGTTGAGTATACATTAAGTGAACTTTTTTCTATTGTGTCTTCACAGGAGTGCCAAAGTCAGATCTTCTACATACAAGATCTTTAAGAGGGCACAGAGACTGCTTTGAAAAATTTCACTTAATAGCAAATCAGGACTGTCCACGATCAAAACTCTCTAAAAGTCCATATGCAGAAGTAAAAAATATCTTGAGCAAAAAAATTAACTGGATCATACAGTATGCACAAAACAAGGATTTAGACTCTGATCCTGAAAGCTCAAAACCATCCCAACACCAGCTTTTTAACTTCAGACATCAGACTGATAGAAAATTACTCCCACAGTTTGACTCCCCAGTACCTAGATACTCTGCAAAATGGATAGATGGGAATTCTGGAGGCATCTCAGGCTGCTCACAGACTCTTTTGGAACAAAGAGAATCCACTGATTTCAGACTTGGTGTGTTACAAGAAACAGGTGCTACCTTCTGCTGCAGCAGTGTTTTGTGGTCTAATCACAACCAAGTCCAGAAAGCTGAAAAAGTTGAAGGTGATTCACTTCCCAGTGTTCATAGAAGGCATCCTCAACACAGCAGGGAAGATTGTAAGTATATATCTATTTACATGCAACCTAGCAAGCAAGGGCATTCTTTGAAATATCTCTTGGCCACATAATGTCCCCACAGGGCATTAATTTACATCCTGAAATCCAGCTTTTAACAGTTTGGAGTTACTGTAAAATCTGTGAAGAAAAACGCTACATGGCTAAGCAAACAGTGTGGAGGGTTTGGTTGTTGGGGGGAGTTGGTTGTTTGTGTTTTTATTTTTACTTTTCCTGTTAGTTATACCTGGGTGTGATACAGGACATGCCTAACTTACACAAAAAAGTTAATGTTACAGTTGATTGCAGTCACTTCAGTATGTCAGTCCTGGCAGTTGCACAGTCATGCCTGTGGAGATTACTAAGCTCCTGAAAATAACTGTTTTACTGAACTTGTGCGGTGCCTTGAGTTACATTTTACAGAGAGCTGCCCTAAGCAATAGGGGAAATTAGAGGTAAGGTAGCAGAGCAAACTTGTGAAATAACATGAAGTTAAACATTCTTAATAGTAGCAGGCTTTCCTTGTGCATTTTACTAATTATTTTTTCTATTTATTGAGCATAAGAAAATGGGAAGGTCCTTATGCTACTATGTCCTCTTAAAGGCTGTAGCAGTAGATCTGAGCAATCTTTTGATGACAGTGGTGATACTGAAAGCAGTGGAAAATAAGTTTTCCAGTTATTTAAGAAGGTCACCAGAAGAAGTGTTTAGAAAAATCTAGGATATTGGAATCTGGAATCAGCCTATATGAAGTGTGTTTGGACTAAGTTCCTAGAGATCTCTGCAGTTACTATCCTGCTTTTAGAACAGTGCCTGGTCCTCAATGGAATACATCCACTCTCACTTTTGTAGATGAGGGAAGTAATTGGGGAGGGTTTCTGAATTTCAGAAGACCTGAGAAAGAAGACAAAGGCTGGCGAATATTCAGTGGAAAACTAGGTGATGAAAAACAAGGTAATAATGGAATTCAGAATGTCAGAAGACAGAGTGAGAAAGAGGTACTGTAAAAAGTTGGAATCAGTTTCTTTAGGCTCCTGTTTTTTTAACAAACTAACAAACCTGTCCTTGCACAGTTTGGTCATTTCTCATTCTTTATAAAAAGATATTATTTAACTGCTGTATGATGCTTTATATTGCATTTGTAGTGAATTAGTAGTCTTAAAGCCATAAATCAAAACAGATATGCTGTGCTGTTTGACCACTTGTCCTCTGGAGTCATAAATTGGGATTACATAAACCGGGACAGCACTTAACAGAGGAATTGTGAAAGCTTGACCTGGTTTATGGGGTTATCTAACTGAAGTTAGTGACTTGGAATTTATCTCTCTGATCTCTGATTTTGGGACAGGGGAACATAAAGCTGTTTTGAGCACCATAACAGATTTTTTTATTCTGCATATTTTATGACTGCATAATGCACTTCTGAGGCAATTTTGTGTTGTATTACAAGTATTCGTTTAACCTTTTTTGCAGTATTTAGCTTTAAAAGACATTCATTTGGAGACTCTATGATTATATAAAGTTTGTATTTTGGAGAAAAATATAGTCAGATTTCCTCTGCCAGAATTAGGTACCTTCTTATTGCAGTAACTCCACTGTAATGACATAGCAGTCTACTAAAGGAAAAAAAAAATCTATTGTTAATGTAATTGTAAATAGCTTGGCCAATATTTCTTTGTAATTTACCTCAGCTACAGCTAGAATAATGTTTTATCATTTAAATTCGGTGTTCTGTTCCTTCTCCCTTTTCCTTCTGTATCAGAAGGAAACAGTCCTATCATGATGCATACACACAAAATGTGTGAACCTGCCTGTCCACTACAGTTGATGAAATATTGATGACAATAATGAAGAAATGGGAAGTAACTTCCTACTACTGGGTATAAAAGGGGGGAAAAAAATCTTGACATTTTTATGAAGCTGCCAATTACTGTATTAAATCCAGTCAGGGTTTTCCTGGAGCTTAAAGGGTGGTAAGATGCAAGAAAGGAATCTTCAGTTGTATTGATAGCCGAAGGTAGGAAGGAGCACCACTGTACCTGGCTGTTAGAGGAGAAAGGTGAATTTGTGTCACTCTTAAATAGCCTTACGTCTTGAGGAACAAGTAGGCTATCTTTAGCTGCTGCCACCTTCTTTGGTCTGGCACTACTGACAGAAAGTTAATATCCCACAACTGCAAGATGTGAGAAAGAGATTGAAAGAGAAGGCTTAGGATAATGAAATAGTCCTGTGAGTAGGCAAAAACCATACTTTTCAAAACTTAACGCTTTAAATTTACAACATAGAAACCTCTTGCACTGAGAAATCTCTGAACAAAAGCTGCATGTTTGCAGCACAGGTTTTCTTCAAGTATGCAGTGAGAGCTTTGCTAAGCTGCAGCATCGTTTAAATAAAATATTTAAAAATTACAAGGTCTTAAAGCTTGTTTCAGTGCCTTGTATCCTCCTGTGGTGATCAGGATTGTCAGTTTTCACTGTGCTGCCAAGAGCATCTCAGCAGCAGGTACGGCAGGGTTGAGGAATTTCTAGGAAGCAGGCCAGTGCTTCCCCACTTGTTGCTGTCGATCGACAGCAGCATAGAGTACTTTCACAATTCTGTCCTCTGAGGTTTAATATATTTTTTTTTATGAGGATGATAAGTGTACACATAACGTGAGATACAGAAGGGCTTTTGAATGATGCAGAGGATCTTTTAGTTCTCACTGGGAGCAATGCAGAAGATCTTTTAGTTCTCACTAAGAACATAGCACAAGAAAGTGAGAAGTAAACCTATTTTTATATGCTGGTCTTTATATCAGACTAAGATTTTTCTTCATCATTTGCCACTGAGTTACTCAGTGGAAACTATGTACATTATTCTTCTATGCATACAGCACAAAACTTGATAGCCAAAACAGGTAGCTTGTGTGCTGAAAATTCTGTCCAGAAGCTGTGTCCTGTAGGCTTGCAAATGCAGCAGGGCTTACCTCAGAATTGTCCACTTGCCCACAATTAAAGAGATGTACTTGCAGGGGTTACACTGTGGAAACCATGTTTTGCAGTCAGAGGAAGGTAAAGTATTCAAAGGTGTCAAGCAATTTACAAGCAATTCTGATTCTGGACACTACTGTTTTGGGGACTTGAGTTTCCAGCTTTTTGACATTGAAGAAAGGGCTTTCCTGTGGGGTAAATTTTTGTCTATGACAACATAAAAGAGAGAATTTTCAAACTTTCCATAAATGATTGATGAATAATGTTGCCACTGAATTACTGCCACACATTTGTTGATTATTAGGATACAAATGATGACAAATTGAGAAAATAGGAGTCTGTTTAGGGATGCTTATGTGACTTTGGTAGTAGTAATAACACATTTTATTGTTACAGTGACTATGATGACTTCTGGAGAGTTAAAGCAACTTAATGAAAAACTGCTCAAGCAAATCCAGGGTGAGAATTTTTCAGTACTCTGGTTTGGCTTTGTGTTGCTTTGTAATAAAGAAAATTTTGTTTGAAAAAAAATGTAATGGCTTTCCTGTCAGTTAAGTTTTGAACTGGACTTATCATGTTTCCATATAAAAAAAGAAACTTCCAACTTGCTTTTATTATGTAACCTCCCTGGGTGTTGCAAACTGCCACTTTGAAGAATACAATATTTTATTTTAAGGGTTTTTTTTACTGGAATCATAGAATTGTTTACATTGGAAAAGACTTCTAAGATCATCGAGTCCAACCATAAACCTAACACTGAAGTCCACCACTAAACCATGTCCCCAGGCACCACATCTACACACCTTTTAAATACCTCTGGGGATGGTGACTCAACCACTTCCCTGGGCAGCCCTCTTCCAATGCTTGATAAGTGTTTCAGTGAAGAAATTTTTCCTAATATCCAATCTAAACCTCCCCTGGTGCAACCTGAGGCCATTTCCTCATGTCCTATCATTTTTTACCTGGGAGAAGAGACTGACACCCACCTCGCTACAACCTCCTTTCAGGTAGTTGTAGAGACCGATAAGGTCTCCCCTCAGCCTCCCTTTCTCCAGGCTAAACAACGCCAGTTCCCTCAGCCACTCCTCGTAAGACTTGTGCTCTAGACCCTTCACCAGCTTCATTGCTCTTCTTTGGACACACTCCAGTACCTTAATGTCTTTCTTTTAGAGAGGGAGCAAAACTGAACACAGTATTCAAAGTGCGGCCTCACCAGTGCAGCGTACAGGGGGATGATCACTTCCCTGCTCCTGCTGGCCACACTATTTGTTACAATTGAAATCAACTTCATTTTGAGTTACAAAGTGATCCACCTTGGCTCAGTTCACCTAAAACTATAAACTGGTGATGTGTTCAGTTCACAACGCATACTCCAAGCTGCTCTGGAACCAGAAAAAGTGTGGTGTTCTTGTGCATAAGTCCACTTATATGTCTGTGTCTCTTTCATAATAACGTTCGGCACTGCTTCTTAACTCTGTGAAAGTACAGGGACCAAGTGCTTTAACCTGATAATGTTCTTGCAGATGTGTTTGAAGAGCTGACGCAGCAAGTTCAAGAAAAGGACTCTTTGGCCTCAGAGCTCAATGTCCGTCATATTGCAATTGAGCAGCTGCTGAAGAATTACTCCAAACTGCCATGTCTACAGATGGGACGAGCAGGGATGAAATCAAATGTCCCCATATAAAGGGGATGGAACTTCTGTCCCCCTATAGAGCTAACTTTCCCTAACAAACAGCTTTGTTAACCATTAAGTACAGCTGCACAGATATTTAGAAGCTTTTGAGGAAACTTAGGCAGCTTTCTCTTTGCATTCGTAATCCATGAGAAGTCTTATTCCTTTTCGGTTTTAACAAAAAAGGCAAATGTTTTAGGTATTAAAATCTACTGTAATAAGGTTTATTCATAGTTAGGCTTTTTTTTTTTTTTTGCCCATAACTACGCATGAGCCTTGAAATGAGTTCTGTTTTGTTGATAATAAAATTGTTTCTAACAAAGAATGACCTGAAGCCTGTAAACCTGCCTCCTTCATACAGAGGAAAAATAAAAATTTGAGTTTTTATCAGGTCTGATCATATTACATTCTAGAGAGCTTTAAGGAGAGAACAGTATTAATGAAACTCATGGGGTTTTATTTATTATGAGCAATATTTTATTATTGAAATTTTATACTAAATAAATATCACTATTTTAGGTACTTTTCCAGATCTCTTTATAAAATGTCTGAATTACTCTGTGTAATGTTTATGCCTTGTGTATGATTGTTTAACTTTTTTCAGGTCTGTATCTTTCATGATACAATTTAAAAAAAAAAGAACCCAACTTGTTTCCCAAAGAGATGAATTTTGTGTGTTAAAAAAATGTGGTGGTGCATCACTTATTTTTATCAGCTTTATAACTGAAGAATTTGGTTCATGAGAGACAAGCACAGCACTTCCTTTAAATTTAAAAAAATAATAATCCATACTTTGGTTTTAATGCATAGAAGTTGTTTTATATGTGAAATTTTCAATGCTGAAAAATTACTTTGAAGAAACTAAATAAATTTGTAATACTATATTATCTTGTTATGATTTTTTTATAAAGTTGGATCAGACTGTGATAAAGCATTTTGATTTTGAAATGCAAATAGTGATACGTTTTAAAACAGAACAGCCTTTGCTTTTTTAAAACTTTTATCAGTCTACCATACCAAGAAAACTCAATCTTTGCCAAAGTTTGTTGAGCTCCATTTGCGTAACTGAAAGTTGCTGGGTTGCACTGAGAAAGTCAGCAGTGGGAGGAGAAATTTCCCTCCTCTCCCCCCGCCTCCTGCCCAGAGCCTTGTGCTTTCTGATTTTATCACTTCAAGTGAAAACAGGGAGTAATTTATATAGCTGAGCTGAAGGAATGACTAGCATGAAGAATGGTTTAGATTTGATTTTAAAATCAAACTGAGAAGTAAGCTGAAGTTCAGACTAGGTTTATTGATTGCCCTCCCTATAGTGATATCTGGACTACATAGGACAGGTTGATTAATTTTACTGTTTTTCCATAATGCATTTCTGGAAGGGCCCTGAAAGGAGTTTGGAACAGCTTGAGAGTACGTATGAGTGGGGACTTGAACTTTGCTGTTTGCTTTTAAATTAAAATTAAAATTAAAAGCATAGCATCTACACTTTTAAGTCATTCCTACTACCTTTCAATGTATTTTATTTTTGTTATATTGGATTAAGTTTTTGATCCAGGCATGGTTGAGGGATGTTTTTAAGAGGGATTTTTGTTTTTAAGAGGGATTATAATTAGGAAGGATGACTTCTGGGACACGTAAGCTGTGGAGAAACAAATATTTTTATGCTTTGCCATCAATACGATTGTGAGTCGGGGGAAAGGAAAGCATATACCTAGCAAGTGGGCCTAAAAGAAAATTAACTATATAACTTTTCTTTCTTAAGCCTAAGATGCAGAAGGGGTCGGCATGTACCTCAGCTGTCTGTCAGCTCTGAACTGGAGTTGCTGCTGCACATCTCTGTAGCCCAGAGGAATTTAAGAAGGTAGACATGGCTGTGTTCTTTGTTTAAAATAATGTGCTGTAAGAAGATGCTCATACCATCACATGCATGGGATTTCTTTCCTCATTGCTTTCCTGACTTTCACTGAGAAATCTGTCTGGTGTAAATCTTGCATTAAATTTGAGTTGTTTCTGTATATGAAATGTTGATTCTTAGGGTATTCAGATATGAGATGTATGTGTTTTGAGTAAGTAGTGAACAAGCTTTAACAAGACAGAGGGGAAAAGACTTGCATTTGCAAAAGTGGTATTTGAGGCTATGAACACCTATCAAATAAAATCCAGTTTAAGAGTCTTAACAGCTTAAAGCTTACCAGTTTTCATTTACATTATAAACTATTGCTTATTTAAAATGGTAACAAGAACTGGCCAGAAACGGGCATACTTAAACAGAAGGATCTTAATTAAATCCTCTCTGAAAACATAGCTAGAATTGCTACAGATTTTTTTTTTTTTTCCAATTGCTAGTGGTAAAGGGCAGAAACAAAATTCTTTCTTTTTTTAACAAAGGAACATACTACCAATAAAAACATTCACCTAAACTGAATCCTGAAACCTTTTGTTACTTTTTTTTTATTATAGTGCCTGGAGACCCCAACAGTGAGAACACAGCTGCATCTAAGGCTGGATTAAACGGTAATTAGATTCACAAGGAGGAGTCTTGCTTGAGGAAAATGAGATCTGGATGAGTATAAAAGAGCATACCACAAAGTTAAATCCATTTAAGAGCTTATTCTATTACTTTCATGCAGATTCTTCCTTTTTTAGGAGCAACTTGGTAACTGCATTATAAAAATGTTGCTCTCCCTTTTTCCTAACTTGGGATCTCACATTGGGCAGGGGTATTTTCTTAGCACCCCCAAATGATAACGCATGAGCTGGTTTCCAAGCTGACAAGCCATTTCCAGAAAGTGGGTAGGGGGCTTGGGGCTTGTTGCTGCCTTTCGGTTAATCAAACCCTAGGAACAGAATGGATTTTTTGGTTGGCTGGTTGGTTTTCTTTATGAGAAATATTTCTGCTACATGACACTTTCTAGATAATGCAGCTGTTTATGTCAAAATTGGAAATGCTAATTACATGTGGCAAATATGTAATAGATTGCATAGGCTGTTAAATTTGTTTTGCAATTATAAGATACAGATTGACTTAGACGTATTTAAATACTGAAATTTTGAGGAAAATGTAATAAAGCAGTCTGTTAATTTCTTTTTCAGATTAGTAGATTGCTTGCTTTATTATTTTTCCTCAGGATTTTTAGTTTTAAGAATGAATAAAATGTTTCTGGTTTTTACTGGATATAAAGTTAGTGATGTATAACCGAAACAACACTAAGGAAACTGTAGCAATAGCATTGAAGCTATTAAAGTCGATTGGGTCACATGTTAAGAAAACTCTCACATGATAGCTGTGGTTCTAAAACTTCTCAAAATCATGATGCTTCTGGCTAAAGAAAGAAAGGGTTTAAATTCATAAAGACTGCAAGTAAATTATTTGTTTGTTATAATCCTTTTTTTTATTGTGTTGTGTGAAGCAGCCCTCTATTCACTTTTATTTTGCAATGATTAAGTATGTTAGCATCTCTTGGCTTCAAGTTTTTAAAAAATTATTTCATAGGAATGTTATGTGAAGACAGTGTGTTGGAATGAAGGGGAGTAGGAATGCCAGTGGCCGTAGCTCTCAAGGTAGATTAAATTCTGCAGTAGGGTGCAGATGCTACTAAATTACTATTGTTGTTTGGTAGCGTAATAATAACACAAGTCAATGGTGGATCCCACAGTGGAATGAAAGCCAGAACTTTACTGGGTTTATCACCTCCATTTAACTTACATCCCATAGAGCGCCTATTGCCATAAAGTCCTGAAACCTGCAGGAAATGTCTTGCACTCACTTATCTACCATCTGTTTGAATGTTTATTTAGAGGACTGTTTTTCTCAGTTACTGAGAACAAATTAATTTGCCAGTTGAAGGTGTAGTTATGTAGTCAGTTCTTTTCTATAGGCCCTTCCTAAGGTAGCCACATCGGACACCTCCTGGTCCTTGCCTGCACTAGCATCCTCTGCTCATTGTAGTCTCCACTCCTGACTTGCTATGAAAAGCCTGAGAAATGCCATTGTTCTTCTGTTAGCATAAGCAACAACAACAAAAAAATCGTAGTTTACTTCTCAGTACTTGTAACACCTGTGAATTTCCTCTCTGCCCCTCTTGAGACTCAGGTTGCACTCTTGGTAACCTGCTGGTACCTTCCCCGCACACCCCCTCACCATTCGGCTGCCGGCCTTCCCCGGGTCCTGGGCACAGCTGCCTAACCCCTGCTCGGATTTTGGGAACAGTGCTGCCATGCAAAACAGCGCTGTGAGAAAGAGGAGAGGTAAAATTACAGGCTGAAGTAAGATTGTTGACAGCAGTTTATTGGTAGCTCAAGGATTCAAGAGTAAAGCGTGAACAACATGAAAAGGTGGGAAATTGGGAAGAAAAGAAGGGTGTCGAGCTTGCAGCTGGCAGTCAGGTCATCGGTGTTGACAGCATCGGTGGATTTGGTGCATGAGTGCAGTTCAGCAGCCCCCAAGATTGGCAGCTCTGTTCTCACGCCCGGCTCTCCCATCCAGTCCTCCTGAACCGATGCCCACCTGCTCAGCAGCAGCTCTTCAAGCATCTTACCTGGGTGTCAGCACAATGGTGCTTAGCAGAGTAACTCTGTAAGCCCTGCTGATCGTGTGTGTGTGTGTGTGTGAGTGAGAGAGAGAGAAACAGTGAACAGTTGCTTTGTACTTGTATGTATCTGACTTGCAGAGCCTCTGTGCGTGGCTGCGGATGGCCAAATATAATGACTCGAGCAATAAAAGATGTCTGTGTTTGTATGGCAAGTACAGTCTCTAGGTAGATGCAGGTATATTGTTTTATGCTGGCTGAACCCGAGATAAGCATGCAGCAAATGTCCTTGATGCTACATATGGGTATCAATGCTACAGGTCAAGTATTTCAGGGGGAAAAAACTGACTGCTATGTACAGGTCATAAATTTGCAGTGAAAGTGATCGCTTACAAAGTTAAGGAAGTTTTGCTTGTGCACAAATGGAGACAAAAACATTCTAACTGGGAAATTTAAAGTTGTCATTAAACATACACCGGATGTGCTACTCGTACACTTAAAAGAAAATGAAAAAATTCTTCGTATTTCATTTGCAATAGCATACCTATGTGCCCCTATGCTAGCAGAAACAATTAATAGGAACACCGGTTTTGCATTTCTCATCTTTTGAAGTTATGTGGGTAAGCTTCAACCCTTTTTATATTAAAAAGGGGGACAAAAAAGGCAATACTCCTATAGTCTTTGTCTAATGGAAGAGCATGAGGGGAGATAGGTCAGGCAACATGCCATCTGTTAATGAAGTGCAGCTGATCATGAGGTGAAAAAGGGCCTAGCTGCATACTAAAGAAAATGTTCAAAATGTTATTTTGGGGAAGATACTACTTAGCACTGATGAAAAATGTGTGATTCTTAATAATCACCTAATACCTAACAGGGGAAGGCTTATGCAGCTCTCTGTCCTGTTCTCTCACTCTACCCCAGTAACTCAGGAATCTGCTGATTTTACCCAATCTTGATAGAAGCGTGATAGAAAGCTAAAAAAATTTCGAAATCTTTAGAAGATGATGTGGCTCATGGAGATTTTATGAAGCCCTCTACAGGTGTTCCACTTACGAGGAAAGAAAGAATTCTGCAGGACGGGATCACACCAAAGCATCAGTGGAGGGAGAGCAGTGGGGGGGTGTGTCTGGGAATGCCCCAACCACAGGGAAAGCTTTGCCAGGTGCTTAGGAATAAGGAGGAGTCACAGGGCTGTGG